AATCAAGTTGTTCTCAATGTATTATAGTTCTAGTTCTTACAGAAAGTTTAGTTCTCTCTATAATCTTGCAACTGTTAACAATCACTTTTTAAGTGATTCAGATATTGTTTGGTCTGTTTGAAAACTCAGTTAATGAAATGGTTTCAACATTTCAAACATCATTTATCAATCTAATAAATGTGAGTTTCTTTTAAACCATAATTGCTTGACCAAACAAACCAGTCTTTCTGAAGACAACTCTTATAAATGCAGTAAATTAGCCTTATAAATAAAGGAAGTCTGAGATTCCAGTTCTGCACATGAACTTGTTGGGATTTCAATGTAATACCATAAGTCTAACTTAGTTATTTACTTGAATATTTTAAACTGACTTTACAAGGCTATTACTCTAATACATCAAATTCTCTTCAGTATTAGCCTCTATCCTAGTGGCTCAGATGGTAAATAATCTGCCTGCAATGCAGGAGACCCAAGTTCGATTCCTAGGTTGGGAATATCTCCTAGAGAAGAATTACAGTATCTTCAATATTACAAACATATGGGATATCAAATCTTTATAGAGTCTTTCTAAAACCAAGTCTTTCTAAAACCAAGATTAATACGATGGTTTTGGTTCCCTTAAAATTTTTAATGCTTAGTTTTAAATCTTCCCAGAATTAAAGCCTGGTACTCACTGAGAAATGGGTTTCCCAGGTGGCACTAGCAGTAAAGAACCCGCCTGCCAATGCAGGAGACCTAAGAGACATGGGTTCAATCCCTGGGACAGGAAGATATTCTGGAGGAGGGCATGGCAACTCACTCCAGTATTCTTGCCTAGAGAATCCCATGACAGAGGAGCCTGGTGGGCTACAGTGCATAGAGTTGCAAAGAGTCAGACACGACTGAAGTGACAGCACATATGCACTCACTAAGAAGTACTAATAGAATTCCAGAGAGCTCAGAATATTTAATTCTTAATCATCCAGGGCAAAAGATGCTCATTCACTAAGGAAACTTTATCTTATTCCAAGATGCGTGCTTTTTTCTTTTTTTTCCCCACATTTTAACACCTCTGAAATTGGGATGTGGCTTACAATCAGGCACCTTAATTAGCAGCAGTTGAGCCTGGTGGGCTGCTGTCTATGGGGTCGCACAGAGTCAGAGCCGACTTAGCAGCAGTCTTTCTCAATGAAACTTAAAATGATGGTGTCTTAAATTAGGTGAGATGCGGTGCCGTCTCAGCTAACTATGATTACTGACAGCTAGAAATGAAGGCCGTGTGTGAAGCCTGGAGCTGCAGATGTCCAGGGCATTTCTTCTCACTCACACCACTGTCATGGTGAGGTTGCCTGTTTTGTTTATTTTTTAAAATTTATTTACTTTTAATTGAAGGATAGTTGCTTTACAATATTGTGTTGGTTTCTGCCACACATCAACATGAATCAGCCATGGTATACATATGTCCCCTCCCTCTTGAACAGTTGGATTTTTTTTTTTTTGCTATGACTTCAATACTTAAAAAGGAAATGTGGCTCATAGAGACCACTGCTTCCCTGGTGGCTCAGATGGTAAAGAACTTACCTGCAATGCAGGGGGCCCAAGTTTGGTCCCAGTTGGAAAGATCCCCCAGAGAAGGGAATGGCAACCCACTCCAGTATTCTTGCCAGGAGAATTGCATGGACAGAGGAGGCTAGAGGACTACAGTCCATGGTGTCGAAAAGAGTGGGGCATGACTGAGCGACTAACACTTTTCACTTTTCTTTAGGCCGCTAGCTAGATTCAGTTTATCCAAATACTTGAATCTCTGCCTGCTTACAACATCTAGGAGTCCCACCCAGATGATCACTTGATTGGTTTTGCACTTACCTGATTTTTTTGTTTTTGTTTTTTTGCACTTACCTGATTTTTGTGTACAAAAATGTCATTTTTTTTCCCCATCCAGTTCAACACTGATGGGAACCTATGCTATTTAAATAATTTTAAAAATTTAACTTGAAAGGTATTTGAATGTGATAGATTCTTTTCTTCTTTTATGTTCCAGATAGGGTTATCCTACTTTGTCCAGGTATAGGTCATATATTTGAAATCATAATTATTCTTTTCTCCAAACATTTCTCATTGCTTAGCTAGAAAGTAGAGGATGGACATTCTTAACTTTTCTGTAAATTTAATGAAACTGTTTTGAATGTTCTTAATGATGATTGGAGATAGATAAAATGTTAAGAAGTTATGCCATTTAAAAATCAGGAATGGATTTTTAAACAACTGGATTGAAATAATTGTTCACATACAGTGTAATTTACCCATTTAAGATGTGCCATTCAGTGGTTTTTAGTATGTTCACAGATATGTGCAACCATCACCCTGTCAATTTTAGAACATTTCATCACTTCGAAGAGAAACCTCATACCATTTGGCTTTGTCTCCATTCCCTCCCAACCCTAAGCAATGACTAGTCTACTTTCTTTATAAATTTTCCTTGTCTGGATATTTTATGCAAATGGAATTATATAGTATCTGGGACTTTTTTGTAACTGGCTTCTTTTGCTGGAGAACTAGATGCTGAATTTGATTAAACGTCTTTTTAGGAAATATTAGAGGAGTATCCTACTTTTTAATTTGGACACTTCATAAGGGTTTGTCTGACTTGCAATCACAATGATGAAGTCTTTCTATTGAAATGGACCAACCAGTTGCAGTTCTAAGGGGAGGTGCAGGGAGGGCCCCTTCAGATCAGGTGCCTGCCCGGGACCCAATCTCCAGTTGAGGGTGGAGTCAGACAACAATATGGCAGCCCTCACTGGGAAGGTTAAGCAAAGAAAAGTCCCTAGAAATGAGGCGAGACAGAATTGAAGATGGCTTCTTTAATTCAGTTCTTTGAGGGTCCTGTCCCATGTTTTCTGAATCATGAGAAACATTGTCCCCAAAATATTGCTGTGGTATACTGGGAAAGAGACTGAAATAGAAGTCAGAAGGCCTAGGTTTTTGCTTTGATTTTGCGGTTTGACTTTAAGGAAGGCAGTCATGTCTCCAAACCTCAGGTTCTTCTTAGAGAGTGAAAAGTTAGTACCCAGCATGGCTGTTGGTGTATTTGAAAGATTTACACAAACACGAGACATATGTGTATTCATTGTCTGTCTTCTCACTGTCTCTGACTCTTGGTATCCTGCAAGATTGTACCATAGCCCACTGCTTCCTGGATCTGTTTCAGGTTTAACTCTGGTTAAGTGCAGCATTCATTCTTCCACTTCACGTTGCCACTTGGGGTCTCTGTTTATAAGGCCCATGGTCAGTGGCGTCTAGGGTTCCCAGAGGTTTCCCCAGACTGCATCCATTCACCACTTCCAAGAACACTGAAAACCTTGCACCACTGCCCTTTACTCCCCACCCCCACCTCACTGCCACTTTAGGTCTCCACTCACCCACTCAATCCCAGCAAAGATGGTTTGCTTGTTAGTTAGGTTAGTCCCCTCAGAGGTGTGTCATACCCAAGCTCATTCTTAGTCACATTCTAAGCTGCAGAACCTGTGAGTTCAAGAGGGGTACAGTTCCTGCTCTCTGGGGCTAAGTTCTGAGGCTGACATGTAACATAGCCACCAGGAGTGGGACACCTGATATGTGGGTGGCCAGCAGCTTGACACCAGGGCTATGGGGCCCTGGCTTGTCTTTCAGCTTCATTTACACAGACACAAACACACACACAGATACAAACACACCTTTCTTTGTACTTTCACATTGAGATTATTCATAATCAGAATATTCTTCTTTAAAGGAGACCAAGGCACTTGGAGAAGAGAGCAATTCTACATGCTGGCATTTAGAATTACATGTCAGAACTGGAAAGAACCGTACACAATCCAGTCTAAACACCTCCCTACCCACCCACTATCCCACTCCCCATTAATGGAAAAGACTGAAGCCCACAGAGGTGATGTAATTGTCTAAGATCACACAGCAAGTGAGAGAAAAAACAAAGATCATTTGTTTATTCAATAAAACTTTATTGATTCATATTTACCAGGCACTGCTCTAGGAGAGAATATAGGCTTTTCCACACAAACTCCCTGGCCTCATGAAGCTTGTATTTGTCATATTGCCATGGAAATAATATACAATGAAATGTCAGATGGTGTTAAGTACCATGAAGAAATCTGGAATATGAGGATAGAGAATGAAGGAGGTGGGGAGGTGCCACATTTGATAAGAAAGTCAGGAGTGATTTCTCTAAAAAGTGAATTAAATAGGGGATAAGACATACCTGGGAGAAGAACATTTCAGATAGAACAAAAGCACAAAGGCCCTGGTTTAGTAAAGAGGCCACTAATTTGCCATCCAGAGCTCCTTCATCAAGCCACACTGCCTCCGAGTCAACAGGGGTATCCTAAGAGTCTTCATACCACATAACATGTCCAGGTTTGAGGATTGCTATATAAACCCAGAGTCACCACGCTGCCCAGGATGGAACAGAACTTGTGTCCCCCATGTGTATGACACTGACCCAATACCTCCATGTAGCATAATAGAAACAGCTCTAAGGTGGGAATCAGGAGACTGGTTCTTCTACTGAGTGAATGATCTAGGGCAAGCCCTCTTAGGGGATCAGATTATTGTTTTTAAAACTTTAATTAAGGTTTAATGTTTAGTTTAAAATGAGTGAGTACGCAGTTTTTTCACGTATTCTGACCCTGTTGTTGTTGTGGTGGTGGTTGTTATAATACAGAGATACACACAAATCTTAAATGCACATTTTGATGAATTTTTATGCATGTATATATCTAAGACTGTATCACTCATATCAAGATGTAGAGCATTCCAGTGTCTCTGAAGTTTCTTTTATTATGTGCCTTCCCCCACACCCCTCCACCTCCAATGCACCACCCCCACCCTCCCACATACAGAGTCTAGATAGGAATCTAGACAAGAAATCAGGCAGTCACAATATGGTGCGAAGTAGAGAGCAAAATGAAGCACCAAGCAGGTTCACGTTACCTGTCCTCTGTTGGGGAGGTGGCCTTGTGGGGATGTCAAGGACCACTTTTTGGAGCAAAGAAGCTCCAATCTGTAACCTAGGGATGAGTAGGGGTATCCTGGGAGAATGTGTATATGTAAGTTGGGCATCAAGGAGGTAGGCATAGAACAGTATTTTTGGCAGAGGGAACAGCACATTTGAATGCCCAAAAGTAAAAATGAGCCTGGGATAAAAGACTGATATATATCAAGATGTTATTGTTGCTATTCAGTCGCTAAGTCATGTCTGACTTTTTGCAACCTTCCTAGACTGTAGTCTGCCAGGCTCCTCTGTCCTGGGATTTCCCAGGCCAAGAACACTGGAGTGGGTTGCCATTTCCTTCTCCAGGGGATCTTCTTGACCCAGAGATCTAACTTGCATCTCCTGCATTGGCAGGTGGATTCTTTATTGATGAACCACCAGGGAAACCCTATATGTCAAGATACTTATTTATATCATCAGAACAAGGTGTGTAAGCACACAGTTGAATGCACAGAACTCACATCTGTTATCCAGAGCAGCCCGTCAGATCATAAGAGGTGGGAGAGTGATTCAGTATCATGCCATTTCATGGAGAGCAACTTATTTTTGTGCTCTGGACTGTTGAAAGACAGACAGAGACTATGAGCAAAAGAGGCTCAAAGGTGAATCATTTTTCTTTTGCTTCTTTCTCTTCCTTTCCAGCCCAGTTCAGCCAAGGAGCTACCTCACAGAGATGTATTAGAAATAATGCACGCAAACCTGGTCATAGCAGAACATGAAGACTGGTAGCTGGTGTTACGCGGAGGCTCAGAGGGAGAACGGGTTGCTCCTCTTCCTGCATCTTGAGCTCCAGGTTGCTCTGTTCTCAGATCCTGTCCCAGGTACCACCTCTCATGGCAGCAATCATGCCCTCTTCCTGCAGGGTAGACCCTACTTCTTTCTTCCTGGGTGACTAAGTGGTCTTCAGTAGGTCAGTGGCTGAGATTTTAAATCCATAGAATCTGTGCATTTCCCAAATGTATACACAGGGACATCAACAGAGCAGCCCACATGGGCTGCGCTAAGCCTGGGCCAAATCCCCCTCATGCTGTCTCTTCTAGTTTGACAGGCAGGGACACCCATCCTCTGACTGTCTTTGGGGGCACAAGGTTTTATCTTCTGTAAATAGTTGCTAGAAAGAAGAATGTGTGTACACGCATACATACACATACACACACACATACAGGTATATTGGTCTCTGAGACATAGCTTTTGAGGGCATCTCCAACTTCTGGGGAACTTTTACTAAATATAGTATGTATGGACCCTACCCAAACACACACCTTATAAATCAGTATCTTGGCAACTGGGGGCTTAGAAATTATATATATAGATACACACATATATATAAAATTATTTTTTTCTTATTGAAGTATAATTAACTTATATTAGTTTCAAGTGTACAGCAGAGATTCAATATTTTTATGCATTATAAAATGATCACCATGGTCAGTCGAGTTATCATCTGTCACCATCTGTCATCAGTTCAGTCGTTCAGTCTTGTTCAACTCTTTGCGACCCCATGAACTGCAGCACGCCAGGCCTGCTGCAGGCCATCACCAACTCCCAGAGTTCACCCAAACCCATGTCCATTGAGTTGGTGATGCCATCCAACCACCTCATCCTCTGTTGTCCCCTTCTCCTCCTGCCTTCAATCTTTCCCAGCATCAGGGTCTTTTCCAATGAGTCAGCTCTTTGCATCAGGTGGCCAAAGTATTGGAGTTTTAGCTTCAGCATCAGTCCTTCCAATGAATATTCAGGACTGATTTCCTTTAGGATGGACTGGTTGGATCTCCTTGCAGTCCAAGGGACTCTCAAGAGTCTTCTCCAACACCACAGTTCAAAAGCATCAATTCTTTGACGCTCAGCTTTCTTTATAGTCCAACTCTCACATCCATACATGACCACGGGAAAGACCATAGCCTTGACTAGACAGACCTTTGTTGACAAAGTAATGTCTCTGCTTTTCAAAGGCCATAACTTTCCTTCCAAGGAGTAAGCGTCTTTTAATTTCACCATACAAAGTTATTGCAATATTATTGACTCCATTTCCTGTGCTGTATACTATATCCCTGTGACCTGTTTATTTTGTAACTGGGAATGTGTACCTCTTAATCTCCTCACCTATTCAGAGGAGGTTGCCAGAGGGGATGGGGGTTGTGGGATGAGTGGAATAGATGAAGGAGAAGTTGTATATATTTTTAAGCTCCCTTGGTGGTCTGAGAAGCACTTCAGACCAAGAGCCCCTTAGTGGAGGGTGAGAACTCTGATCACACCAGGCAAAGACAGCCTCTCTTGTTATCCTCCAGGTTTTTCCTAAACATCTTCTAGTCTTCACATTTGGTATAACTAAAAGATTTGTTCAAGAGATTTCTTCAGAAGTGCTCAAAGGTGAATTACAGCTTTAAAGTCTACAGAAACTTGAACCAGGAAGCTGAGATTACAAGATTTGACAACACACACACACACACACGAATATACATAATCTCTCATAAACACATGCATATAAAACACAGTTTATTACATATATATGTGTAACTTATTTCTCCTAGAAAATTATGAGCCATAAATAATTTTTAGAGAAATTGACTTGAATTGTATTTTGTGAGATTTGCATTATAAGAAGTTCTTCAGTATTTAATTTCAAAGAGAAAAGTATGGCCACAGCCCTTCTGTTTAATAGATAAGTCTGTCTTGGGGCCAGTGGCATTAGAAATCCTTAACAACCAACCTGCACCATTATTTCAGAAAAGCAAGAGTACCTGGTTTGCCCACATATGCTCAAGTTGCTTTCTTTTCTTCCATTTTTCCCCCCTCTCTTTCTCTTAATTAGAAAAAATTCCACAGCTCTTTCTTTGCAAAATAAATTTTATAATGCAAGTTGCCACTCAATTTCCTGGACACAGTCCTTGTTCAAAATTGTACCTCAGGGAAAAACTCATACCATGGCACTTCAGGCTTTAAAATTTAGAATGAAGCATTTTACATTTTGTCCTGGGTGTGCTGGGTCTGAAAGTTCAACTATTCCGCACCTTAGTTCTCCTGCTTTTCTTGGTCTCTGCTCTCATGCCGATCACCTGAGAAATCATGGTGATAGAACGGCTGAATTTCAAAATCGCACCTCAGGGAAAAACTCATACCATGGCACTTCAGGCTTTAAAATATAGAATGAAGCATTTTACATTTTGTCCTGGGTGTGCTGGGTCTGAAAGTTCAACTATTCCGCACCTTAGTTCTCCTGCTTTTCTTGGTCTCTGCTCTCATGCCGATCACCTGAGAAATCATGGTGATAGAACGGCTGAATTTCAAAATCGCAGGCCTTGGTAGGCCTCAGGCAGTTGAAGCATCACAAATTTGAATCTGAAACAGATGAAGCAATAGAGGCTAGAGAAGTGTGGAGCTGCTCAGGATCACTGCGTGGAGGAGGGACTGGAACCTGGGGTGTCTGGCTCCTAATTTGGTCCCCTTCCCAGTAGAACCCAGTGCTTTCAGTCCTTCCTGTGCAGAAAAATTACCTGGGCAGCAATGCCTGGCTGGGGGCCCGCAAAACCTCTCCCTCCAACATATTTACATCTAAGTTTGCATTCAAGCCAAATCCCTTCCAGCTGTTAAGCTACTTCTAGTCCCCTCCCATATACAAATGCCCATGTAAACATTCTTGAGTCTGACTAGTACCATTGTTATCAATTCATGTTTTTTTTTAAATTTGTTAAAATGCAATTTGCCAGTTCTCTCCAGATTGTCAGGTTCTGTGAGTGTAAAGGAAGCCCATGAACCTGCATTTCAACCTACTTTTCAAGTGGTTCATGGACCAAACTTAGCAAAGCTGCTCCAGAGACACCAAATTAAAGGAGGACTTCTGGATTCCACTCTGCCTTCTTCAGAGAAGCCTTTCTCCTCGTAAAAGGTAAGTACTGGAGGCAGGCTGCCAGGGAACATGTTTCTCCTAGCACTCTAATTAGCTGACAGGTTGGGGCTTCTGAGAAATGGTGGGAAGCACTGGGGAGTTTGTATAAAGGTCTCCAGTGTAACCTGAGTGAAAGAATTTGAATTCCTAGGCAGAAAAGGCTTTGAGTGTGGGAAGTGGAAAATGATGTATGTGGAAGGGAGGAGTTGATGTAAATTTCTCCTTGTAATTTGGCTTTGATATTGAGGAAAGCTGGCAGCTGGGTTCCACCCAACAATATACTACAACCACTGTTTCCTTGCATTTTCGCCCACATTAACGAAATGCCTGGTTACATTTTCCACATGTTTGTCTTTATTTTAATTATTCTTAATATGTCTTAGTAAGGGCTTTATTAAGAGATAATGATAGATTCACCTGTAATATTTATTGAGATACAGTTCCCCCATTTAGTGTTCAATTCATTGATTTTTAGTATATCACAAGGTTGTGCAATCATCACAATAGAATTAAAAAGATTTTTTCACTTGAAAAAGTCACCTGACCTTTTAGCTATAAACCCCCATTCAATCTTCTAACCACTCCCCCCATTCCAATTCCTAAGCAATCATTAATCTACTTTCTGTCTCTATGGATTTGTCTGCTGTTGAGATTTCATATGAATGGAATCACATAATATATGATCTTGTGGGACTATCTTCTTTCACTTAGCATGATGTTTTGAAGGTTCATTCATGTTGTAGCATGAACCAGTACTTCACCACTTTATATTGTTGAAAATATCCCATTGTATGGCTCTCCTGCATTTTGTTTATCTATTTATCCATAATACTACATTTCATTTATCCATTCACCCACACTTGGGTTGCTCCTACCTTTTGGGCTATTGTGAATAATGCTATTTGTGTATAAACTTTTATGTGGACATATGTTTTCACTTCTTTTGGGTATATACCGAGGAATGGAATTATTGGGTCAAATGATAATTCTTTAACTTTTGAGGAATTGCCTGACTGTTTTCCAAAATCCTCACTTAATTTTTTTTAAGCCAACATGAAGTCAGTGGCTCTGAATCATCCTTTAAGAATTTAGTAACATATAACTTAGCCTGATCAGGTATAACTTAGAACTTACTGTAGCCAGTTGTTTGGGGGGGATGCAAAGAATCAATCTTGAGTTATAAAACCCAAAGCTCAAATACCCAAGAGTGCTATTTGGCATAATCTTAAAAGTTGGGGCAAAGTTTATGGATTTGGGTTGGGAAAAGAAACTTATAGCTTTAAATATGGCCAATAACAACAACATAAAAGAAAACTGTTGTGCAACAACTCTTAATTAGCAGCTTAGGAAAAGGTTTAGTGGACTGAAAAAATACATGAAGCTATTGGATAAAACTATCTATGGATTTTAGTTACCTTTACTGTCATCTGTTTCTATATAGGGAAACAGACAAAAAATTAAGGGTAAAGTACATAGAAAGATTTTTAAATATTTAAATATAAAAAACAGAGCACTGCACAAAGTACAACTCCATGAATTTTCTCAGAATGAGTCTCACCCACGGAGCTGGCATCCACACCAAGAAACAGACCGTTACCAGCTCTCCTGGAGCTCTCCCTTTCCAGCCATTAAACATCCAAAGGAAAGGAGGATATCTGATTTCTAGCACCAACCTACACAGACCCAAAGAATACATTTTTGACAGTATATGTTTCGGGTGTCAGAGACTGACCTGCAGAATAAACTTATTAGCTGGCAGAGTTTCTCAAGACTCAATTAGACTTTTTTACATTACACAATGTAGAATGTTAAAAATTGAATACCTTTAAGCTGTGCATAAATTAAAATGTATAATCTGGCACATGAGAAACTTTCAATTTAACATTACCTGCAATTTAAGAGTATGTTTTAAAGTGCATGAAATCACATACTTCAAACGTTTATTTTAAAAGACAACTCTTTTTTTTCTTTCCAGGATTTGAAGTTTATTTCCAAGAGGAGTTTGGAAAAGAAGTCCTGGAGACTTAATCACAGGTGCTTTAATAATTCAAAAAGTGTGCATGTAAACACACATGCACATTGGCAGTGTATTACATTGTGAGTTGCAGTAAGTAATGAACAAAATAAATACAGCCTTTGTAAGCAGAGCATAAAAACGGATTCACGTTTCCTTTGGTTTAGTGCGTAGGAGGATTAATACCCTCCCCTTACTTATTACTCACCTAATACTGAGACTGACTTTCTGCAGAGTGACAGTGCTCTGGTTCTTAACCTGGAAAAAATCTATTATAATCATTTTATGTATAAGAAGACTTTCAACGCATAAGAATTCCTACCATTAGGAAATAAAATTTTACAAAGGCGAATCATTTAAGTTCTAAATATATCTTATAAATTACCAAAAAACAGATTAGAATTTTATGAGGCCGTTTCTTTGAAAGTCTGGGACTCTATGTTCTACCAGATGATGCCTCATACAGCTCAGGAGTCAAGGTGAGACGGCCACAGAGTGTGTGTAACCCTTGCCAACGCTCCAGGCCGTTGGTTCTCTTTCTGGATGCCTGGATACTTCCAAGGAAACTTTGGCCTCCTGCCCGCCCCTACCCTTTTTCCCCACCTCCCAACTTCCCAGGCGGAGGGTCTGCAGAGCAGCCAGCGCCGGGAAGCCCCACGCGAACGGTGACTTTGCTCTGCGTCCTCCTTTCCCGAAACCCCGAGGCTTAGACTTTTCCCACCAAGTCACCCACAGCTCTCTTCCTGCCAACCTTCTTCTAGGCGGGGGAAAAGTTTAAAGCCGGGCTCCCTTCGTATGAAAGGTCGCCAGAGTCGCGCTCGGGGCTGGACCGGAAGGGGGCGAGGGTCCCCAGCGTTCCAGCGGCGCTCCTGCGGCGCTCCCGCCGCGCCTCAGCTTGGCGGGCTGTCGGTCCCTCCGCGCCCAGACCGCAGTTCCCTCCTAACCCGAGGGAACCTGTTTTAAAATTGGGGCAGGGCACCTCTCCTGGAGCCCAGGGAGAGAGCGCCGCTTTGGCGGGGCCCCAAAGGGTGCAGGCGCTGCGCGGCGGGGCCTCAGGGCGAGCGTGGTGTGGGGGGCGGGCTGTGGGAGTGGGGCGCGCCCCGGAGGCCGGAGGCGGACCCGCCGGCTGGCAGGTGGGTGCGGCCGGCGGGAGCCGGGGCGGCGGCGGCGGCGGCAGCAAGTGGTTGGGCCGTGCGCATTTTCTTCCCGCCCCCTCCGCGTCCGAGCCCGCCCGCGTGCTCTGAGCGCGGCGCCGGCGGCTCCGCTCCGCGCCCTCTCCCCGCTGCCAACGGCCGCTCCCTCCCCGCTTGTCCATGTCCCTGCCCGTGGTGCTCCCGGGCTCCTGCTGCCCGGTGGCCGGGCTCTCCGGCGGGCCGCAGGCCGGGGGCCCGGGCGCCGCGGCCGCCGCCGCCCAGGAGCCGCCGCTGCCCCCACTCCGGCCGCGGTGGCCCCGAGCTGCGCTGCAGCCCCCGGCGCGGCCTCGCTGCGGGGCCGCCGCCGCCGGGGTGCTGGCCGCGCCGCCTGCGCTCTCCTCCCGCCGGGCCGCCGCCGCCGCCGCTGCCGGGGCTCCGGGCTCCGCGCTGCTGCCCGCTCGCCTGCTCTTGTCGCTCGGTCTGCTGCAGCTGATCCTGGGCTGCTGCATGGTGGCACTCAGCTTCGGGGCGCTGTCGCTGAGCAGCTCCCCGCAGGTGAAGAACTCGTGCCCGTTCTGGGCTGGCTCCTCGGTGAGTGCCGCGCGCGCGCCCAGCTCACCGCGGGGAGCAGGGGTTTTCGGCCGGTTCCCTCCACCGCCTCGTGATTGATCGCCCCGGGGCTGCATTTGGGGAGGAGAACCTCACAGACCGGTTGAAGTTTTGGGGCCGTTGAGGCTGAAAACAAAAAAAGACGTAAAGAGAGTGTGGAGTTCCATGGTGAATTGGGTTGCACCTGGACGGTGTCTATTACATGTAGACTAAAGGGTTTTGTTATTCCTGTCAAACTAGTAGGATAAACTTGATTTCCAGCCCTTGGCGAGATTGGAAGGGTGGGGGGTCGGTGGCAAAAAAAAAAAAAAAGCGGGAAGAAAATGAGTAACTTCTTTCAGCCATCGAGTGTTTACTTCTCTGACAGCGTCCGCACCGGGAGGGCAAGGCTCTCGATCTGTTTGTTCACCAATTTATCAGCAGTGCCAGGCACACAGTAGGGGTACTTGTGGGATGGATGAAGTGACAGGTTGGGGAGGCAAACGTAAACATGAAGTATCTGGTGTAAAGTAACTCCGCTGTGTTTGGGGACGAGTTCAAGAGGTAATAACAGTGTGTGTTACCTCGCTGTGTACTTGGTCGTTAAAGGAGGGCCCTAGGCCCGCACTGGGCTCCTGGAGCCACACAAATTGCTATGCAGAATTTAATTCTTGAGAACACGAAGCCATCATGTGGATGAGCTTGGAGATGTCTACCTGGCCTGGCGCCTCCAACAGAGAAGGCTGATGTGGGGCTCAAGTCTGCTGCCCTCCAGCATCCCTGCCTCCTGAAGATTTCACAGCTTCCAAGGCAACCAGTGTCTTGAGGTTTGCTGGGGATTGAGAGACTTGGAAACAGGTCTTCATGGTGAAGTGATTGTGGAAGATGAATATGTAAAGCAAACAGCCTTTCTCTGAATTAAATCTAAAAGCCTGGCAATGCCTATAGTTCTTATTGAGATCTGTAATGAATGTAGGATATCTTAAAAACATTGGGTGGTCCTTGCAAGTCCACACAAGCCCACTTTCAAGACCCAATTTTAAGAATATCGTGGTGGTGGTTGCTCACTCCTGTCCGACTGTTTGCAACCCCATGGATTTTAGCCCACCAGGTTCCTGTGTCCTTGGGATCTCCTAAGCAAGAATACTGGAGTGGGTTGCCATTTCCTCCTCCAGGGAATCTTCCCCACCCAGGGATCCAGTCAGGGTTTCCTGCGTTCTCCTGCATTTGCAGGTGGATTATTTATCAAGGAGCCACATGGGAACCAAAGAATTTTAAGATTATAGGGAGAATGAATTGAACCCAAAGTAATTGTTTGAAAGAGCTGTAAGAACATTGGGTATGTAGAGCCTGGCCTGATGTTTTTATACTTAAACTGATGCCAGTTTGTTCTCCTTTGGAAATATTTTGATGCTGGATGATTTTCTTGTGGTATGGCCTGTGCTATGGTGGGTGGAATTCACAATCTGTGCAACATGTAATAAAGAAACCCCCCTCCTAGCCCTGCCCTTGGGCTCTCCCACAGGCTCCTGGGAGTTCTTTAAAATATTCTCAATAGGGTAGGTAGGGGTTGGATCTGTCTTGCTCCTTAGTCCACTTGTCAGCCTAAATTCAGCCAAATGATGGGTACATTTAATTTCTCTAAATACCCTGGGCCAGAAGTGACTCTTGCATACATTTTAGGGATTTGCTCTTTGTAAAATCATAATCTCTTTTCTTCTCAAAGATAGCTAGTTTAGGATTATTGAAAACTATTTTTTTCTCTCCTAAAAGTAAACCCCTAAATCAGTGTACTATTGTGAATTATATCAGAAGTAAATGCATTTTAGATGTCAGTTGAGCCACGGTTAGGTTTGATGAACTAACCACTCCAGTATTCTTGTCTGGAGAATATCATGGACAGAGGAACCTGGTGGGCTACGGTCCATAGGGCTGCAAAGAGTCGGACACGACTGAAGCAACTTAGCACACACGCATGCATCAGATGGTAAAGGCTACTAGTTTGAGCCTACTGACTGGGTATGTTCTTGTCCCAAGGACCCAGCAAACCAGAGCAGGGAAAGAATCAGTGATTTGAAACTAAGTCTCTTCTATAGGGTCCTTTTTTCACCCTGTGCCCCCCAACTCTATATGAAACTTGCAGCTGTTATTTTTTGTAGCTTGTTTCTGAGGTTGTCTTCAGAATTTGCGGTGACAATGGAACTGACAGATACTGCATGTCTAGAACAACTGAATAGGATTTGAGAATGGCCTTAAGTCCCATAACTCTCTTGCGGTTGCAGGACAAGAGTCTCAGCAATAGCATACCTTTTGAATTTATGTGTGTGAGAGGTGTTTGTTTTTTTAAACTCTTCTTTATGGAAAAATTTAAATTTATTCCAAAACTGCACAGTGAATTTTCATATACCCCTAACCCAGTTGTTGCACACCGGGCTGTTTTATCTCTACCTCTTCCTGGTTCTGTTGCTGGCTCTATGCGTCCTCCTCTTCCCCCTGCACCGGGTGGCTTGTGGGATCTCAGCTGCCCAACCAGAGATTGAACCCAGGACCTTGGTAGGGAAAGTGTGGAGTCCTAACCACTGGACCACCAGGGAGTTCCCTCCGTGTTCTGTTAACTCTAGAAGGATGGGCTTTCCAAGCAGGGTGGAAATTATTTTCAGCATGCTCTCTAGTCCGTTTGTCAGATTCATTTCCCATGTTATTGTGAAACAAACCTCAGATATCACATCATTTTATCTGTATTTCAATACATCTGTATTTTTAAAAAGAAAATCTAAGTGGACTAGAGAGATAGCATAGAACTAACCAGGAAGTCTTAAGAACCTCACTCCACTTTACTATTTTATTGTGAAAATTTTAAATTTCAAGTCACATCCAAAGAATAGTATAATGACCACCCTCCACCAGTGACCCATTACCCAACTTTAGTAGTTATCAACACTTACACGATCACTGTATACTCAGACTCATTCCCCCTTTGTAACACCCACTGGATTATTTTAAGGCAAATCTCCATCATTGTAATTTCAACATTAAATGTTTCACAATGTATTTCTAAAAGAAAGAGACTTAATAGTTAACAGGAAGGGACTTGATAGCACATTGTGACTAATTTAACTACAGCTAAAGTTTCTATGAAAACTTAAAAAAATTATGACTTGAAGACTGCAGAATTTTTTTTAAGAACACTTTTGTTGAGATATAATTCACATTCATTTAAATCTACTTTAATCACCCATTTAAAGTGTGCAGTTCAATGACTTTTATTAAATTACAGTTTTGCAGCCACCCCCACTATCAATTTTAGAACATTTTCATCACTTCCCAAAAGAAACCCTGTACCTATTAGCAGTCACACCCCATTTCTTCCTTACTTGCTTATAAGCAAGCAACTACTTACTTTCTGTCTCTATGGATTTGTTATTCTGGACCTTTCTTATAAATGGAATCATTTGTGACTGGCTTCTTTCACTTGGTATAACATTTTCAAGGTTCATCCATGTTGTGACATGTATCAGTACTTCATTCCTGTTTATAACCAAAGGAGAATCCATTGTATGGCTCTAATGTTTTATTTATCACTCAGAATTTTGACTGGCATACGAAAGTAGGTAGTTGAGTGGCAGTGCCAACTTAAGTCTGAGGTTACTTCACACCCACGTAAGAACACAGTAGAAAGATATCCTCATATTTCAAGTTTTGAATAACTAATATATGCCTGAGTCTGCTATAGCAACTAAATCAGCAAATCTTTTGGCTTCAATAAAAGTTTTGCTCATATATTTGATGCAAAATTAAGAGACAAATGTATTCATCTGAGGCTTCTCTGGTGGCTTTCCCGTTGGCTCAGATGGTGAAGAATCTGCCTGCAATGCAGGAGACCTGGGTTCAATCCCTGGGTCAGGAAGATCCCCTGGAGAAGGAGAAGGCAACCTACTCCACTATTATTGCCTGGAGAATCCCATGGACAGAGGTCTGCGTTCCATGGGATTGCAAAGAGTTGGACATGACTGAGGGACTAAACAACAGCAACATATTCATTTGTAAGGACCATTTTGTTAAACACACTGAATTTCAAGAATATTTTTCCATGTACACTCCTGTAAGTAGTGTCACCTTGAGCCTGAGATTTGGAGGTTTCCTTCACTTGTCTGAACCTTGAAGGCATATTTTACCTGTTATAATATATGTTTGAGAGTTAGCAATTCCTATAAAGACTCTCTCCCCATACTTTACATTCTTAACTTTCAGCAACTTGGAGTGTTTTTATTTATTTATTTTTTTTGAAGGGAGTGTTTTTAATGTGCCTATTATTTTGGGGCACTCGATGATCATCTGTTTTCTTGCTGGTGTCCTTGACTAATGACTCAATCTATTATTATTCCTGAAGTTCGTGAAGCTAAGAGATTAGACACTTTAAAAATACACTGAAGTTTGACCCAGGTGGATGGCACAGGCAGGATTTGAATGTCTGTGTTCAGTCCGTGCTGTCCTGACTCCCGGTTTGGAGGCATAGTGAGTTAATATTACTTAGATCCCACTGGGATTACAAAGATCAGCCCACCACACTTTTAGATTAATGAAAGAGTAGAGAGAATTGCATTGTTTTCTGTCTCCCTCAAAAACCAAAATTCCTGACCCTTATGACATGTATGATATTTCATAGGCAGATATGGGAGATATTTCAGGCAAGTGGTAGAGAATTAGTTACTATTTTTTGTTCTTCTCTGGGGACCCTAATGGCGTTTATCATCATTCATGTCTCTGTGTTGAACTCACTGACCTGAACTCATGGTCACCCCTTCCTTGATTCTGTGATTCTTTGGCAAGATTCCAGTTCCTTATAAAGACACAGACATTGATGAACCTTAAGGTTAATCTTAAAACAGTTTTACAATGACAAAATGTAAAAAATGTATGGTTCAAAGGGGAAACTAACACAAAAATTCTAAAATCTCTACCAGTCAGACAATAGTAAATACATTTTTTCTATCATGGTCATC